TGATGATGGTGATGATGGTGATGATGATGATGATGGTGATGATGGTGATGATGATGATGATGGTGATGATGATGATGATGGTGATGGTGATGGTGATGATGATGGTGATGATGATATGATGGTGATGGTGATGATGGTGATGATGATGATGATGGTGATGATGGTGGATGATGATGATGATGGTGATGATGGTGATGATGATGATGATGGTGATGATGGTGATGATGATGATGGTGATGATGATGATGATGATGGTGATGATGATGATGATGAAGCACACAGGTCTGATCTGAGCTCAGGTGGACTCACCTGCAGACTGAACCATCAGGAGTCTGAACGCTGACATCAGCAGAATGAAAATATTTAGTTTAACTGGTTCTGAGATGTGGCTGCAGCGTGTGTGTGTGTGTGTGTGTGTGTGTGTGTGTGCGTCATGCTGGCAGCTGAACATGAATCAGTAACAGGACTCAGCTCTGAGCTGACCTCAGCTGCTCCTGAAGCAGGAAGTTGAGGTCTGAAAGGATTTTCAAAGTAAACTAACTTCTTTTCTCTTAGTTGTTCCAAAGAGTGTGGTTAGTTTAATAAAGATAAATGAAATCATGTTAGTGTTCTTGTTTATTTGACCTGATGTTGAGGTTTTCAACCAAAAACAGCCTGCTTTTATTTTGAAGGTCAAAAGCAGAAAAGTTTGGGAATCATTTGTATAAACAAAATTTTTACTTAAGTAAAATAATGAAGTATTTGTACTTTGTTACTTGACACCTGTGGGCTACATACAGCGTACTTGTTTTTTATATACAATAAAAAAACAGAATCTTTGTTTTGACGTGAACTGACAGGTGTCAGGCTGCAACGGTTTTAGTTTGACATCATTTGACCCAAAGCTCAGAGCTGCTCTGGAACCAGAGGAACCTGCTCAGAACTTTTTCCTGCTTCCTGTGTGGATCATGAGTTCCTCCTCCTGCAGCTCTCCTCTGAACCATTTCATAATCTCACATCATCTGTGTGACTCATGCAAATAATAAATAAATAAGCTGGCGTTACATAAAACAAACTTTTATTCACCCCTGCCCTCTGCTGTACACATCATAAACAAACAAACAAACAAACAAACAAACAAACAAACACAGGTCATAGAAAATATACAAAACATGGTTATTTAAACACCACGAGGGCCGTTATTATTCATCCTCCTCCTCTTCCTCTTCATCACTGATGACATATTTCTTCGCCTTCTTCGTGGCCGTTTCTTCGTCGTCCTCAGACTTCCTCTTCACCGACCCTTCACCCTCCTGAGGAGCAGATGGCAGCAGATTAATCAGGTGATCAGAAGGTGCAGGAGCATGATGGCGCCCCCTSCTGGCTCAGCAGGGAACTGCACCCACCTCGTCACTGTCCAGCTTCTTGGCCTTCATCAGCCTCTGAGCCTTGTCTTCATCAGAGCCTTCGTCGCTGTCTGAGGAGTAGATCCTGGCTCGCTCCTCTGGAACGAGATGAAAACATCAGTTTATRTTTAAAAATAAAAAACGAGCCTGGATGGACCGTCTCTACCTCTCAGGCCTCCTCCCTTGTATTTGCTCTTGATAGCTGCCAGGCTGATGGCTTCCTCGCCCTCCTCTTCATCATCGTAGCGATCGGGCTCCAGGTAGCTGCTGCTCAGACCCCTCTGGTGCTGCTTCTCCCTCATCCTCCTCTGCTGGGACTCCCTGCGGATGGAGGCTCGCAGACGCTCCTCCTCTTTCTGCCGACAGACACAGAGCTTTTATTTTGAAGTTTTGTTTCGGAGGTTTAACCTGGTTCTGAACGTTTCCCTCCTCTGACTCTGAACAAGCTGGACTCTGGAGCAGAAAGCTGCTTTGCTGCCTCAGTGTTGTTGTGATTAAGTTGTTTACAGAACAACAGCAGAGCGGCTGCAGGACAGGACGTCCCCGAGGACTCAGACAGGAAGTGATGCTATCTCTGCTGTTTGTTTGGGTCCACCTCAGAACCACGTCCCGCCCACACCGACAGTCATCTGAGCTCGTTACGTAAGAACACCGCGGACGCTTCTGTCTTTATGTAATCAGCCACGGCGCTCGTCAACAACTAGCCTCAAGTTAACACTGTTAGCATGTGAGCTCACGTTTCAGGAAGATGCTAACAGTGTTAGCCTCTGAGCTTATGGCTTAGCATGCTAACACTGTTAGCCTGTTAGCTCAAAGTTCAGGAGGATGCTAACAGTGTTAGCCTCTGAGCTTATGGCTCAGCATGCTAACACTGTTAGCCTGTTAGCTCAAGGTTCAGGAGGATGCTAACAGTGTTAGCCTCTGAGCTTATGGCTCAGCATGATAACACTGTTAGCCTGTTAGCTCATGGCTAAGGAGGATGCTAACACTGTTAGCCTGTTAGCTCAAAGTTCAGGAGGATGCTAACAGTGTTAGCCTCTGAGCTTATGGCTCAGCATGATAACACTGTTAGCCTGTTAGCTCATGGCTAAGGAGGATGCTAACACTGTTAGCCTGTTAGCTCATGGCTAAGGAGGATGCTAACACTGTTAGCCTGTTAGCTCATGGCTAAGGAGGATGCTAACACTGTTAGCCTGTTAGTTCAAGGCTCAGCATGCTAACACTGTTAGCTCACGACTCAGAAGGATGCTAACACTGTTAGCCTGTTAGCTCACGGCTCAGGAGCAGCAGAACAGAACAGATCGTTACTTTGATCATTTCGTTGCGCTGAGACTCCGGGTCTCTGCCAGCCATGGGGAGGATTCGGATCTTCTGCGTCTTGGAGCAGCGGTCGGCCAGAGACAGGGTCATCTTCCTGTGGGTGGCGCTGTCTGTGGAGTGAGGCCTGGAAACACAAACAGCTTCAGATGAATCACAGCAGCTCATTCTGGTCATTTTAAACAAAAAATAAAGTTTTCTGGACTCTTTGTCAAATCTAAACCAATCATGTCCTGTGCAGGAGGACTGTTGGACATCAGGGCAGGTCTGGACTCGTGAAGACAGAACATTCAGGTGGACCTGGGGCCACTAAGAGGCTTAGAGGCTCCTGAGCACAGGAACCTGTGCAGTGTGGACAGATGATCTGAGGACTTACAGGATAGGAACATTTCTACACAGCCTGATGAAGGCTGCCTTTATTAAGAGGAATTACGGACCAGGAGGTCAGAGTGGGACTAAGACCAGGGTCCTACCTGAAGGTGAGTTTGGTCTTGAAGACGGCCTGGCCCTGCAGACCGGTCCCCTGTCGGATGAACAGGTGGTTGTGGTCTCCCTGCAGAGGAGCTTTGTAGACGTCGAACACTTCGTTCCCCAGGTGCAGAGACATGCTGCCGAGACAACGGGACATTTAAACCCAGACCAGATGCAGGACTCCTCCCACTCAGGACTCCTCCCACACAAGACTCCTCCCACACAAGACCCCTCCCACACAGGTCCCCGCCCACACAGGACTCCGCCCAAACAGGACTCCTCCTAAACAAGACCCCGCAAACGCAGTACTCCACCCAAACAAGACCCCGCCCACACAGGACCCCGCCCACGCAGGACTCCGCCCACGCAGGACTCCTTCCACGCAGTACTCCACCCAAACAAGACCCCGCCCACACAGGTCCCCGCCCACGCAGGACTCCGCCCACGCAGGACCCCACCCAAACAAGACCCCACCCACACAGGTCCCCGCCCACGCATGACTCCGCCCAAACAAGACCCCGCCCACACAGGACCCCGCCCACGCAGGACTTCACCCAAACAAGACCCCGCCCAAACAGGACCCCACCCACACAGGACTCCTCCCAAAGGACTCTGCCCACTCAGGACTCCTCCCACAGGACTCTGCCCAAACAGGACTCCACCCAAACAGGACTCCTCCCACACAGGACTCCGCCCACACAGGACTCCTCCCACACAGGACCCCGCCCACGCAGGACTCCACCCAAACAAGACCCCGCCCACACAGGACCCCACCCACAAGACTCTGCCCAAACAGGACTCCACCCAAACAGGACTCCTCCCACACAGGACTCCGCCCACACAGGACCCCACCCACACAGGACTCCTCCCACGCAGGACTCCACCCAAACAGGACTCCTCCCACGCAGGACCCCGCCCACACATGACTCCGCCCAAACAGGACTCCGCCCACTCAGGACTCCGCCCACTCAGACCTGCAGCTCACCTGCCGTCAGACCACTTGACGATGCGAGCGTTGCTCTCCCGCGTCTCGTTTCCCTCCTCGTCTCTCTTGGCTCTCCACCTGATGGTGTTTTCCACCTGAGGAGGGAAAATACTCCAGAATAAATGTAAATAAATAAATAAATAAATAAAATCACCCAACTCTTCAGAGTCAGAATTTATTTACTTCTCTGAACCGTTTCTACTGTTTCACTAAATACTAATTAATTTTAGCTGCTCTTTGATCAAAATGTTCAGGTTTTTATAACTTTTACTTCATAACATTCGTTTATAAAACCTGCTTTAGCTACTGTCTCAATTTATTATGCTACCTTTAGCTTTTAGCTACAACAGTACTACCTTTAACTTCTAACTAGCCTCAAGCTACTCTTAGCTGTTTACTACTATATGCTACCTTTAGCTACTGTTTTGCTTTTTAAGCTTTAGCTATCATTCAGCTTTTTAGCTTTTAGTAAGTGTTCAACTTTAGCATTAATTTAGTGTTCTGGTTCTTTTAGCTTTTATTTAACATTCTGTTTCAGTTAGCTTTTAGCTTGTGTTATGGTTCTTTAGCTTGTATTTAGCATTCTGTTTCAGTTAGCTTTTAGCCAGTGTTTAGCTCAGTAGTGAGTTGTTAGTTGTGACA